GGTAGTGATGAGTGGTCTACTGCATTTTCCACTTCTGGCACTTTGTAGAGGTAATTTTTTATCAAGTTTACCTTTAATTCTGCTTGCTGTCATCACAGAAACTCCAACTAAATATGCAATTTCTAGGCACCAAACTTATTTTTTTTTTAGTTAAAACTACTAATTAATGTAGAAAAAATGAGTCAGCATTATAAAAACACTAAACAGTTGACAAAAATGTTATTTATTATGGATCCATTATTGCGCAAATAAAAATTTTGCCACAAATATGTAAAAAGGCGCATTTTGCGTGTTTTTGCATATTCTAGCTTATTAATTTTAAAAATTTCCACAATTATTTATAAATGTTACAACTTCATAAAAAAAATATAGAAAACTATTATTGATATTAAAATCTCAAAGAATGTAAGTGTAGAAGCAAATTCATTTAAAATTCATATTTAATTGCAGTTTTTGCAAAAACATAAACTGTAACTAATAATTTGGCCGCCCATTGTATTATTTTCTATATGAATTTTATTTATTCAATTTTTTCTTTTAAAAATAAGGCAGCTTTATTACAGGGTTGGAAAAAACCCAGGGTTTTTTAAAAAAACCCAACCCAAATGGGTTTTTTTGGGTTTTATTGGGTTTTTTTGGGTTTTATGGGTTTTTTGGGTTTTTTTTAAAAACCGATCAAAATACCAATTTTTTATAACTGTATGAGTACAATAATTTTTTTTTTAATTTCATAAATTCATCTTCCTATTGCTCCAATGACCACTTCAGTCAAGGGAGCAACTCATTTTTTAAAAATATTTTGTCTCAAACCTTAACATTACCATTTTTACTAACAAACAACATTAACAACTAAAATTTTTAAACAAAGGCGCTGTGCAGAGAACTAGATTGAGCACAGTAATTTCAGCAGAGGTAATTTGAACCCCAACCTTCTGGTTGCGAGCCAAATGTTTTACTACTAGTCTACTAGCACATTTTACCTATAGTGCAAAAAGGGACTATAGAATATAACTATAAATGATGTTAATTAATTGCACTAAATTAAAAAAATGTTCAGAATATTTTTGACTAAAAAAAAATCAGTATAAAAATTATTATGACAATTGAGTTACTCAAAGTTGGTAAGACAATATGAATGTTGCAAACTAGTTTTTTTTACTAACATGTTCAACATATCATTTCAAAAACTATTTTGCACAAGTTTACAACATGTAATTAACAAGTTTGCAACATGATGTTGCAACCTTATAAGTTATTATGAATCAAGTTGACTATGAACACTTTTTAAACATTTTTGTATCATAGAAGAAAACTGCTAGCCTAATCACTACATTTTTTTTTTTATCAGAACATTATTCTGTCCAGCTTCCTGAAAAAGTTATCCACCTGATCAACTGGACTGGCAAAAAATGAATTTTTGCCTAAACTTTTGTTGTTCTTAAAATATCTAAAATAAATTTGTTAAGAATCATTACTTTGCCACCAAGTTTTTTTTTTCCTTGAAGATGTTTTACTGACTCAGTTTTGCAATGCAAATTGCAAACTGAATCAAAGTAACACATTATACAGCTCTATTGTGTGTGTTTCTTCACCTTTTAGCAACTTGATACTGATGTTAATTTTCAACCCGCTGTTCATAGTCACCCTTGTTGGTGGTACATGTTGTAAACTTGTAGCTGATGCAAAATATTCAAAACCTATCAAAAGACAGATGAGCACGAGTGTCATTTTTACCAACAAATCTTGTCTTTGTGAAATGCATACAAGTTTTCAACATGTTCTCTCATTGAATGAGCAAACATGTTGCAAACTTGCTTGCACATAACTTAATTTTTTTTAGAGTTTTAGAGTTGTATGTACTTAAGGACAAATCTAGTAAACTGTAGCATTTTTTTTTGCCTGACAACTTTCCATTTCTAAACTGTAAATAAAGTTTAATAATTTTTATATATAGTATTTTGCTTGTGGCTTTCTACTGAAATTTGCAGTTTACAACATAAGCTTTAAAAAATAAAAGAGCAAATACCAATATAAATGTATATAGACATTGGAGAGGAGAATAAAGATACTAAATAACTAGTAATGTCTTGAAATTTAGTTAATAGAATGATTTTTATTTCCTTTATAAGTATTTAACTAATTTAATGTTTTAATACATATTTCAATAACATTTATAATAACTTGCTAAATGTTTAAAAAAAATAATAAATAACTAACTTGCTACAAAAACAGATTGATCTGTTTTGGGTATATTCTAAATACCATTATGTATATAAATACAGTGTTTACAAGAGTAATTACAGTATAAAGGTTGCACTTGCTGATAATAAAGCATTTATAAGTGTTAAAATCAAAGTTATCAGTTGTAAAATAGGACATTTTTAAAAAAACCCAAATATATTTTGGGTTTTTTTGGGTTTTATTGGGTTTTTTTAAGGTGGGTTATTTTGGATTTTTTTGGGTTGGGTTTTTTTGCCAACCCTGCTTTATTACATGATTTTCAGTTGCCTTGATAATGTTTGGTTATCCCATACTGTCAAAGAAACCAAATCTTTGGAGAGCAAAGAAAGTTTTGCTGACCTGCAATCAGCCAAACTGAAATCCTGAGGATTTTAAGGACTGTATATAAAGACTGATTAGTTTTAATCAATCTCTAAAAATTAAAGTTTGAAAACTTATATAACAAGCTATGGACAGTTTTTTTTTAGTTCTAAAATTAGCATGATTTACCACATGTTTTTTTTTTAATTATAAAGTTAGTATGATTTACTAGATGTACATGATTTACTTGTAAGAGAGTAAATCAGATATGTCCCAGTGAATCTTTTCTTTTTAGACTATTTTTTACTTTCTTTTTTTTTTGCTTAAAAAAATAAAGTAAAATCCAATATGTTGCTTCTAATAACTTGTGTTGTCAATTAGAATTTCAACACTTTTCTATCTGAACAAAAAGTACTGTCAGTATAAATGTGCCATAGCAAACTAGTAAGTGGGGTTAAAATTTGATTTGGGGTCAGATATGATAAAAAATAACCATGGCTGGGGCTGGTGTCATTACGTAGTCATTAAAATTATCATTAACTAAAGTAAATCTGGCATCTCTAATTCATGGGTCTGATCTTATTACCTCTCCCCCAGAATAATGCAGAGTTTGCAAAGAACTTCTTTTGACTCTTGGATGTAATGGCTATACTTTTTCTTTCCAGTTAAATAGATTAACCCATTGTTAGACATTCAAATCATTCAGTTTAAATGCTAAAGTAAATTCTCAATTTTATTTTCCAACCTCTTGTGGTTCAGACAACATAGTCTTACAAAAGTGCTCTCTAGAACACTCTTCAATCTTCGCTTAACTCTTGTTAAGTGCTAAATCAATGGTTCCAATATTTAAAAACTCTAGAAAACACTCAGATCTCTCTAACTATCCTACAATTAGGATCTTTCTAACAACAATATTAAAATCATATTTGAAGGCCTACACTCTTCTTCATTTGCAGTTATTTTAGGTGTATGGCAAGGTTCTATCCCTGCTCCCGTATTGTTTCTTTATCTTCAATAACAATCTTCCTGAAAATCTAAAGTGGATTTATTTGCTGACAACTCAACTTTATACTCTTGTCTTTATAAAACATCTTCACTTTTTGATTGCTTAGAACAGACAGTCAATCTTTAATCTGATCTCTTTTCAATAACAGCTTGGGGCAGCTTTTCTATAACAGCTTGTGGCATGCAGTGGCTTGTGGATTTTAACTATAGCAAAACTCAGACAACTATACAACATTTTTGACATTCTTATATTGACAAAAAATAAATCTTTCATGTTTTTTGTATAATAATGTACAAAAAATTCTTTTGTTCATTTAACAGTGATCAATATGGTGAAATTTATAATTTATGAATATTAAATAAATCTTAAGATGAAAAAATTACGACTTTGTTGGTACTCATGAGAGTTTCATGATGGCAATTATCAGCCATATATTTTTTTAAATTAAGAAATTAAAAAACCGTTAAAAATACAAATTAAAGATACAAATTAAGCAATGCAATAGGATCTGAATTCAAAAAAAATATACTAAAAGGAGGGTTGTACCAGAATTAGGAATCTATAATAACATATATATATATATATATATATATATATATATATATATATATATATATATATATATATATATATATTGAAAAAACCTTCATAAGGTGTAAAAGCCTTCATAAGGTGAAAGCTTTTTCGAGAGTTGCAAAATTTTTAAAGTAAAAAAATAAAAAACAGACACAACCTATAATCATAATCAAGATAAAGTTGAAAAATAACTTTTTCTAAACATATTAAACTATTCTACAAAGTTAAAAATCCAATACAAACGCACCCTATTCATAAAACTATTTTCTCCCAAGAATTCACTTGTATGTTACAACACAAATGGAACCAAGAACTTCCAAGAACCTTCTTCAAGCATGTTTTCCTTGTAATTTTAGTGTTGCACATTTTAAGGTCCATCCAACCCCAAATATTTTTAATGAGATTTAAACCAGTTGACTGATCACACTATGGCATTTATATAAAGTTAATTAGACCAGGAAATATTTAGGGCATTAGTTATTGCTGATATAAATTATTACATATTGAATACTGAAAAACTGCATTTTACAGCAGAAATTGTTGCAATTTGAGGTTTTTCTACTGTATTTTGCAACATTTATTATGATGAAAGATCGAAACATAGTGTTTTGGTGTATAAATTCTTTTTTACACAATTTACTAAAATTTTCATTACAGTTTATAACAAGTTATTTTTCATTTTGGGATTGATTCTTTAACATGATATTTTAAGTCAAGTGTTTTGTAGACATTTATTATTACAAATTTAGATAAAAACATCTATAGTATTTAATGCCACATTTTGACTTAGTTGTTTTAACTTTGGTTACCATTTTAAATTGGTCTAACTTTAATCATTATTTTATCAATAAAGTTTAGTCCATTATTGTTATTTTAGTTGTATTCTGATTTTTCAAACATCTTTGCAAAATCAACTCAATTTGCAACTAATTCAAACCATATGGTGCTTGTTAAAGGAATTCAACTTCCAGGTTTTCTAATAACAATTATTCAATTTTATTAACTGCAAAAAAAAGCAATGTGCAAAATGCAAAAAAAAAAACAACCTTATTTTTGCTTTTCTAATTTTCTGATTATAATTAAATTTTAATTTTTAAAAAGAAATTAAAAATTTTTTTTTTGATTTTTAATCTTTTTTTTAATTTTTTATCTTACAAGCAGAATAAAAAGATTTTTCTTTATCACTTTCCTTGTAATTCTTGACTCAAATATTTTTTTTTTTTTTACTTTCCTTGTAGGTTTTGACTTATTTGGGTCATTATAAAAAAATTTCACAATAACTAATAACATATTTTTTTAAATTCTTTAAGTTCAAGATGTGATTGAAGTGGAAAATAATGAAACTGCAGGTAAAAACTTTGGTCAATAAACTTTGATAAAAAATAGTTAATTAATGCACCTAATTAATGTGATAATGTGATTTGAAAATAATGATAATTATTAACCTTATTAATGATAATAATGATATGAAATAATTATTAAAAAAAAAAAAAAAATTAGATATATTTTTGAGCTTTAAAATGTTTTAGATATAAGTGTGGTTTCAAAGAAATTAAAGTTGGATGATCAATTGGCATCAAGCATTCCTCAAAATACATCATCTCAAGTATATTATTCTCAAATAATTGCATTCAAGTTTCTGATTAATTTTAATTTTTTCTATATTTTTATATTTTTTTTCACAGTATAGATGACCCTTCAAGCAATTTAGATTAAATAGTGAAGAGAAAAATTTAAACATTGTTTGATGAGCATATTTAAATGTGCAGGCAAAGTTTGATAGTCCTGGTAAAGAAAACTTTATAAGTTTTCTTTATACAAATTTTAATTTAAATTTCTTATTACAGGCAGCTTATTTTTAAAAAAATAATTGGTTTTTGATATTTTATTTCACAAAGGAATTGAAGTATAATCATCAAGTGTAATCTTTGTGAAAAGTTTTAAAATGTGATGCAACATGTTTAGATAATTAAATTTAAAAAAATAATAATAAAGAAGTCTGAAACTCTATTATTAGGCACTTGAAAGCATCTTAGTAGAATTTCTAAAAAATGACTTTAGTCACTTATTTTTTTTTCAGAGTTGGGTTAATGTCACAGAAGTAAACGACCGGGGTTGATATTTGACTGGGGCCAGGTTTGATAAAATATAGCCGGGGCCGGGTTTGTGGCCCAGACTGCATAACCAATTATACATTCTAAAGTACCTTTTTTTTTTTAAATTTATGTTTGATTTTGTATATATATGTTTATAAACATTATTATCATCAACATGATCATGATGATTATGATGATGCTGGGGCCAGATTTACAAAAAGTCTTATTTTTAGCCAGGGCTGGGGATAGGGCCTTGGTCGTTTAATCTGTCACAGTCTTCTGGTTTTGGGTATTCTAGACTTCTAGTCTTTACAGCAGACTTTACAAGGGCCTGGGATTCAAAATCTAATTTGGCACTTTTGGGTATTTTTGTCTATGTAGGACACATTCAAACAAAAAAAAAAGTAAATTATAAAAAATAATCAAATATAAACCTACTATGGTAAAAGAAAATACTTCAACACAGAAAAATATCATAAAAAGACTTATTATAAAGAAAAATATTATGAAGGAAATATAAGTTTTCTTTATTATAGTTTTGAATTTGATTTATTAGTCTGAATGTGTAATGGGAGTCAAGTTTATATAATTTATGTTAATTTATGTCCATTTATGTCTTGACATGTTTTGTTTATTTACCTTTAGTACAGATCTAGAGCCTCTTTTTGGTTAAGCTTGTCTTGATAATAAGCCAACACTCTCTGATTGCTTGGACGGAGCATTTGAGCTTGAAAAGAATCTCACTTCTGTTACAGCATAGGGCTCTCAGTGGCTGGTGAACTTTAATTCATATAAAACTCAATTTTCAGCTAATCATTATTGCAAAAATCTAGATCTTCTTATATGTAAGGTACTTGATGAGTCATCTATCCTTTGTCTTCTAGGATTAACACTTAATTCTGATCTTTCTTGAAAACCATATATAAAATCCATTGCAAAATTAGCATTTGCTAAAGTTGCATCTTTTTATCGTGCTTGCCATGATAAAAAGATGCAACTTTTTATCATGGCAAGCAAGATAAAAAGATTTTTATCGTGCTTGCCAAGGTATTTTATTGTTATAATGTTATTTCACTTTCTCTTTTCTATAAATACTATAATGGGTTAACAAAATTTTTAAAAATAATCATTTTATTGTGATGGGTTTTACTTTAGTGGGTAACTACTATTTATTTACATTAAATAATTTATTCAAAAGAGAAGTAATATGTATTAGAATATGGTTTGAAAAATTACGTTAAAATTGTCAAATCTTTTATTGTTTTTAATTTTTTAACCTATACAGCTTTTTGTTCAATTTACACAATTTTTATCCACGCGTGTCCAAGCTAATTTTTTAATATTGTACAGCTAAAGTCCTAAGGTGTACATCAATGTAAAATATTTCATCACATCAACTCACATTTTTTTGCAATTTTTTCAAATCATGTGTGAAAAAATAAAATCATTGACTATTTTTTAATATTTCAACAGAAAAAATAATGAATAGATTCAAGTAAATTTTTAAACATCTGGCAGCATTTTTTTAGGTGTGTTGTTTTTCAACAATTAGTTATACAGCACATCTTAATTGTAATGATAGCTTAATTGTTCTTTTGAATGCCTTGGAGCCATTTCTTAATTTTTTTTGCGAGTGTAATATCCCTCAAAATTTCATTTCGTCTGCCATAATTTACGTAATTTGGCCATAGAGATTCCTCCATAAAGATCATTCCATAGAGGTTACGTAATTTAGCCATAGAGATTTGCGAACTTGTATTTCTAGGAAATAGGCAAAATGAGGTATATAGGGATTTGCCCAGCGGTGTGCACATACACCGACTGATTTTTAGAGAGAACATGCAGCGGAGTGTGCAACTCTAAAGAGCTAGTGCAACTCTAAAGAACTAGTGCCTCTTGAATTTTTAAGAAATTTCAAATTTTTGTAATTTCTTAAAAATTCTTAAACATTGCCACATCAGTTTAAACCCATTGATCTTACTGATTGCAGCAGGTGAACTAAATAATATTTTTTTAAGTTGAATAAAAACTATATTTAAAATAAGTTCATAATAATAACAAAAATATTAAAAACAATAAAAAACATTTTACATATAGAAACTAAAGAATAATAATAGAAATTATAATTTATAAAATAAAAATAATTTTTGAACTTCCAAGCACAATGAACCATGAATAAAACAAAATATTTATTTTTTTGTTTTATTCATAAGTGAAAAAAGTTTTTTATATTTGTAAAGGTTATCAAACTTTATTTTGTAGTCAAGGCTCATAAATGTTTTAAAATTAAAAAAAAAATTTTTATTAAAAAATATTTTTTAGGGGTTGCCCAAGACACCCTAATATGGTAATATGGTAAAACCCTTAAACCCTTAGCATAGTAATATGACAAATCCCTAATATTATCAAAAAAATTAAAAAGTATTGCATTTTGGATTTAGATTTTTATACATAAAAATTATGGTTTTTTAACATAAAATATTTATTTTGTTACGGTTTTTTGTTTTAATTTTTTTTAAGATGTTTTTGATAAATATTATTACTTTTGAAATTTTTATATAATCTCGCTTCGTTTGAGACCCAGCATAAAATACTTTTAATGAAATTTTGATAAAATATTTAATGTTTAAAGGGACCACCAAGTCCCGAGACATGTTGTGTTCATATTAAAAAGAATGTTAAAAAAGAACGTCTGAGCAAATTTTTTTTGATTAAAACTAATTAATAAATGTATACCAAGAAAAACAAATCTTGTTGTTTTAGTTGAAGCTTGTCTTCTCCATTTTCTGCAGTGAAAAACAGCTGTGTTTTATAGTACCTGTGGCAATATTTATTGCTTTTATTACAAAACAACAAATACATTATTTTTCAAGTGGCATTGTTTTACAGTATCCACATTTACACCATTGTTCAACAACTACACTCTTTATTTACACAATTTTTGTATAACACGGTTACTCTTTTATCCATATACCAATTAATAAAATTTAATTAACTTAATTATAAATATTTTCTAATACAAAAAATTTAACAATTCATCAAATATCCTTAATACAGTCGTTTATCGAAATTAATTATTGATTAAAACATCATTTTAATAGGAAGTACAGAGTAATAAAAAAAAAGTTGAGTTGTATAGATAAAATTGAAAAAAGATCCCACTGTTTAAATAAACAACGAATTTCAGAATCTATTATAAAGTGACCAAAGTCATCTTTTTATATAGGAGAGTGCCATAAAAATATATGAAATATATGAAAAATCACTGTCTTACAGAATATAGTATATACTCACTGACGTAGGAACAAACAGCAATAGCCCCCCCTCCCCCGGAGGGGGAAGGGGGGGAAGAGTCCTGTTTTTTCCATTGAAATAATGATTCTGGCTGCATTTTATTTTCGTTTCAGCCCCTCGCCCAACTTTTTGGACCTTCCATAGCCTTTATATATATTGGATGTTATAATAATGGAAATATAAATAATGAAATAAGATCACCTCAATACCAAAAAATACATTTTTAAAATCAGAGAAAATACGCGTTAATATTTTTTTTTTAATATTTACAAAGTAAATTAATAAAAGTTCATTATTATTTTAGGTTAAAAATGATTTTATCTAATATTTTGAAAGAAAAACATATAAAAAAAGAAATCAAAATATATGTGGTCTAGGCGAATATTTAAAAAAAGTTGCGCAAATAAAAAACTATTTTGTTTTTAATTTTTTTACATTTTTTAATTTTTAATTTTTTAGAACTTTAAAATATAATAAAAATGAATATGATTTGGAAATTGTATGTAAAAAATAATAATCAGTGTCACAAACAAACATAATAATCAGTGTCACAAATCACAAACAAAAAAAAAATCTATGACATCATGTATTAAAACTCCTATGAATTAAACCCACTTGAATAAATTATCAAGTCGGTATAATGCGCCTTGAAAATCGCGTTTATTTTAAAGACTCCAAATACCGCAGAAAATGGAGAAGACAGGCTTCGACTAAACAACAAGATTCGTTTTTCTTAGTATACATTTATTAATTAGTTTTAATCATAAAAAATTTTCTCAGATGTTTTTTTTTTAAATTCTATTTAATATGAACACAACATGTCTCGGGACTTGGTGATCCCTTTAAGAGTCTTGCATAAAATTAGGCTAAAAATAATCAAAATTATTTTTAGCTTTTTAAAAATCTGATGCAAATCCCCTTATTTTCCTAAAGCATTAAAAAAAGACTTGATTTCTATGGTTGCATCACATTTGGAATAAGTTTCTAATGCAATAAGTGCAGCAATCACTTCTAAATAATTTTGGAGTTGTTGTCATTTGCTTAACTGATATATTTCTAATCTGCAATTAGCTCTTAAATTGGATCAAACCAAGCAACAACAACAAAAAAAAACAATAAGGATCTTACTAAGACTAAAAGGTTTTTTTTTAGTTGGTCTACTAAAAAGAAAATTTTGCTAAGAAAAATGAAACTGGGAGGTATTTTCAGTTCATATTAGATTTAAATATCTTTGGTTTTTTTTTTTTTTTTTTTTTTTTGTAAATTTTTTGTAAAATTGTAATAACTGTGTAGAGATCAAAATTGTAATAACTGTGCATGGTCAACACTCACTTTATTTAAACATTTAATTATAAAAAAGATAGCACCTAATATCAGATAGTTAGGACTGACCATTTCATAAATGTATGTTTGATTGTATATATATATATATATATATATATATATATATATATATATATATATATATATATATATATATATATATATATATATATATATATATATATATATATATATATATATATATATATATATATATATATATATATATATACATATATATATATATATATATATATATATTTTTATATAAATTCATATATATATATATATATATATATATATATATATATATATATATATATATATATATATATATTCATATATATTCATATACATATATATATATATTCATATGTATTCATATATATATATATATATTTATATATATATATATATATATATATATGTTCATATATATATATATATATATATATATATATATATATATATATATATATATATATATATATATATATATATATATATATATTTATATATATATATATATATATATATATATATATATATATATATATATATGTATATATATATTCATATATATATATATATATATATATATATATATTCATATATATATATATATATATATATATATATATATATATATATATATATATATATATATATATATATATATATATATATATATATATATATATATATATATATATATATATATATATATATATATATATATATATATACAGGCCTGGCGTTAGACATTTCAATGGTGGATGAGAAAAATATTTTTGCGCCTTATTAAATCAATGTTAAATTTTGTAATGTATTTTAATAAAATTTTTTGAAAGAAGGTTGTAAATAGTTTATAATAGTTTATAATAGTACTTTTCAAAAACAATACTTTTAAACAATGTCAATGTTTGGTTAGCGGAAAAAATGTGCATGCATGATCAGTGCTGCCGAGAGCTAAAATAAAAAAATGTACAATTATACAAGTTATTGACTGTGTTTTAACCAGGAAAAATTGTAAATGATATTATGTCATCTTACGACAGAATTGTATCCAATTCATTTTCAACATCTATGTCCGATTGGCGTTCTTAAAAATTTTTTTATAATGGCCCAACAATCATTTTTTAAATCAATTTTAGTTTACTTAATGGTCGTTTACCTTCTGCAACAGGTACTGGTTTGCATTAAAAAATTCGAATTAGAATGCTTATAGATAGGTAAATAAGCTATAGACCCTCTGAGTATATTTGGTTAAAACATACTCAGAGTAAAAATGGAGACTAATTTAAACTATGAAGATGCGAAATATCTTCCATAAATTTTTCTTCAATTTCAAGCTTTAATTTTTATCAGTTCTTGATCTTTCAACCAGATGAATAAGAATCTTAACAAAACAGTTTTTACAATCGCAATTTTAAGTTGAATTTGTTGAATAGAATGAAAAAGCTCAACATTAAAGTTATTCAATTCCAGCTTATGTTTGGAGAACTCATAAAAAATACTGCATATCAAGGTTTACTGCAATTTTGTTATCATCATTTACTCATCATTTACTTTGCAAAAACTTTAAGGTAATGCAACAGCTTTAGAGCAGCAGTAATTTCCTGTGGTCAATTTACAATTAGTTTTATAGTGGCAATCTGAACTGAATGTCTGGTGTCCAAAAGTTTGTAAAGCAAGATCTTCCATCTTGTGGGACTGCAGCTGAAAATTAAAAGATCTTTGATTTTTATTTATTTATTACAATAATCAATGAAACTTATATATAAAAAAATTAATATTGATGAAGGAAAGCAGCATCAGGCTTTCATATGCTGACGATTAGCATTGCTGCAGCAAAATTAGCATTAAAAAAATACTTATAAAATAGTTTATTGTAGGTACTTCAATAACATCATGCACTAATTTATATCAACGGTTTGCAACACAGTTTTTAAATAAGTGCTGATGTTCTAGGTAATCTTTGATTAATTGGGGTTTTAGACAAGTCATTTTTAATTAATTATATTCTGAGTTTAACATATATGAGTTTTTTCCCGGAATTCCGGAAATTCCCGGAATTCCGGAAATTCACTTTTGATTTTTTCAGAAATTTCCGGTTGTTTTTTGTTATTAATTTGAAAAAAAAGTTTTATATTTTTACATAAAATTTTAAATACGACAACTTTTGCATTTAAACAAATGTTTTCTATAATTAGACTTTTACAAGATTTTTTTGACAACTTTTTTTTTTTATTTTGCTTTTTAATTCATTCAAATTAACTTTTTCGAATATTAGAAATTCCTTTTTGTAAAAAGTTAAATGTTCTAAATTCCGTTTTAAAAAGTTTACGAAAGTTTTTGTTGTCTGTTACAGGGTTATTCATTCTTATATACGCATCTTTTCAATTTTATATGCGTTTCATTCTTATATGCGTTTTAAAAAAGCAAAAAGAACACAAAAAAAATCATTTAAGCATTTTGTTTTGAAAAAACAATTTCCTTTTTTTCAAAACAAATTTTTCATATTTCCTGGTAAATGAGGTTAACAATACTTAAAACGAAGACTTATTACATTTGATGATGGTTTATTTAATTTAGTATCAGGTCTTTGTTTAATTTTATTACATTATATCTTCATTGATTAATTTATTATTTATCTAATTATTTATTTATATAGATTTAAATTTAATTATTTATAATTATTATTAATATATCTATATAAAAATTTAAAAGCCTATTTATTTTTTACATTAAATTATATTAGAGATTTTATGGATGGTTGACTCGCATATAATTGCGCATATAAAAATGAATAACCCTGTAAAATGATCAATTTTTAATTAAATAATTTTCAGGGATTTTTGGAAATTTTCATAGAAAAAAATTTCCGGGATTTTCAAAAAGTCAAATACTCATCTATGGTTTAATGAGAAAATGTAAACACACTAACATTTTTTAACTTGGTTTTAATCAACTTTCTAATTTCTTCAACAGCGGTTCTTTGTGACAAAATATGATGGTTATATTATAGTTTTAAATTATTTATTTTTGAACTTATTTGTTAGAGAAATAAATTATTTAAATTATAATTCTTTGGTAATTTAAAACTAAAATTCTCTGCTATGCACATCACCAAGTAAATTTGTTTTATGCGTCATCAATAAAATTTTTTTACTTTTCTGTAATTAAAATCTTTTTTTTTTTTTTTTTGTCTTTTGTCTTCTAGTGCTCCTTTGCACTCGGGGCATGTATGCCCCTATTTTCTTTTCCTCTTGGGGGCCCTGTGCGTGGTTTGTTCTTTATTAAAATATTTTTAAAATTGTACACCAATATAGACTAAATAAATTTAAGAAAATTTAGAAAACGTTTTTTTGAGTTATTATAGTTTTATTATAAATTAATCGATATTAATTGATATACTTATTCTTACATATAATAAGTATATCAATTTTTATATAATTGTTCCTATTAATTTATATATTTTTCATGAAAACATGAAAATATATATAAATTTATAAATTTATATATATTTTCATGTTCTCAAGAAAATTAAAAAATTATTTAATGAAAATTTGGCGCCTTAAAAGCCTTGGCGCCTGGGTGAAAATCAACCACTGTACCCATCTTCCAACGGTACTGTATACACACACAATATACGTATATAAATTCATCTGCTTTGTTTTTTTAGAACATTGAGCTCTCTTTTTATAGAATTCACTAACACACTTGTTATTTTAATCTTAGGTTGTTACAACATCGACCATCTTACAACCATTCCAAATGGGTCAATCTTTAGCACCAAATTCTGGTTCAATGGTAATTAATTTGATTTATTTCGATATAACCATTAAATATTACCATTACCTCCCTTTTAGTTCATATATATATATATATATATATATATATATATATATATATATATATATATATATATATATATATATATATATATATATATATATATATATATATATATATATATATATATATATATATGTATATATATGTATATATATATATATATATATATATATATATATATATATATATATATATATATATATATATATATATAAATATATATAGATAGATATTTGTGTGTATATGTATGTATATATATATTTGTGTGTGTTAATGTGTGTGTGTATGTATGTATGTATGTATGTATGTATGTATGTATGTATGTATGTATGTATGTATGTATGTATGTATGTATGTATGTATATATGTATGTATATGTGTGTATGTATGTTTGTATGTATGTATATGTGTGTATGTGTGTTTGTATTTATTATATGTGTATGTATATACATCCATATTTAGGTACTTAGCCTTTTATTGTTTTATTTTTGCATTTTGTTTTATTTTATCTTTATTATTATTATTTTTTATTTATATTGTTATTATTTGTTTTTTGAGTTATTTTATATTCTTATATCTGATAAGTTTTTTGCAACTTATTAACCAATATAGCACAATCATGTAAAGCATCAACCTGACAAACTGTCATCTTGTGGTTTAACTTTCTTTATTATTATTTTTTTCGTATTTTTTATTAAGTTTTTTTTAGATTTTACATATGGGTTATGATTTTCCCTTAAAAATCTGAGTTTATTTCATTTCTATTGCATATGTGGTTCTTATTATTCTTATTTTTTTTTTTATTACACGCTTTACTGAACATCTGTTCAATATATCTTTTTATTTTTTTTTTATCTTTCTTCTCTTCCAAATTTATTCTTTATTTTGCTTGGGTTTGACAGGTCAGTCTAGTTCTTTAATGCATATTTTTCCATTTTTTAAAATTTAGTTCAATTAGTTTTAATATAATCATTATGATGAAATATTGCCATTTACATAACTGCAGAAACAAAATGCAGAATATGAGAAAAATGTTAGTTAAGTATTCACATACTTAATTTATTTTTTTAGTACTTAAGTTATTAAGTATATGGTTGCTTACTTCATGATAATTCGTCCCCTCAGTATTATCTTGTTCTATCTACAAATGTAATAAATAAAATGTTCTATCTAATATATAAACTAAATACAAAAAAAATATATATAATAAATACCATGTTCTACCTGATATAATATATTATATTATATTACATTGAACATTGTATTTATTTATACATAATTTTTTTTTGTATTTATTTTACATATTAGATAGACATTTTATTTATTACATTTGTAGATAGAACAAGATAATACTGAGGGGACAAATTGTTTAATTTTTAATCTTTAAGTTTGTTCAATTTTTAATTTGAGTAATTTTGAAATTAATAGATTATGCTTTGACATTTTAAATTACTTTGAAATTAATTACTGTCTGCCTAAAATGAACTAAGTCCTGCTCAAGAGTGTACCAAATAATATTTATGCATGTTAACAGCCACAAGTACAACTGCCACAACAACCGCTACAACAGATGGCACCACAAGTACAACAATCTCAATTACAACCACAGCAGTTTCAAAGAAAAGTTGTTTGGAGTGGTCAGTTACAGTGGAATGAAACAGTAAGTTGAAAAAATGTGCAATCCTTTATCTTAAATAAAAAGTCTCTGATTAAAGTTTCATATCTACTTTTAGAACTTAACTGTAGAAGGTGGAAAAATTTCACGGATATTGCCATGTAAAGCAACTGTAACTACTGCAGAAAATTTGTATGTTTTTTTTGGTTTATTGAAATTATTCGTTTGTTGTAGTTTATACAATTATAGTTAATGCATAATTGTGTTTTCTCTATAATTTTATTTTATGCATAATTGTATTTTTTTTACAAATGTATTGTTTATATAACTTTTTATTTTTATAAATTATAAAGATTTTACTATTCTGAGCATTTTATCTTTTACGATTCAAAAATTTACTTTAGACAAACAAATGATTGGCCGAGAGATTTACATATGCAGTTAATACCGCAGATTTATCTAGTACTTTTGTTGTGTTTTATTTTGTTCTTTTTAAATATTTTTAACTTCATGTTTTGTGTAAAATACCACAGATTTATCTAGTACTTTTGTTGTATTTTATTTTGTTCTTTTTAAATATCTTTCATGTTTTGTGTAAAATGATACTTTATCTTGATAAATGTTAAAATGTTCCAATTATTATGATATAGAATTTTCAGTTGCAAAATTTTAAATAAGTAAAAAAAGTAGAAAAAATCTCTGATGGAATTAAGATTTTTAAATTAAAAATATTTTTTAATTTTCAGCAAAATCTTGCCTGTTTTCTTAAACAGGCTAAACAAGTGACGTTTAACTTTTCCCCAACTGACAATGATGTTTTGCAATCTATGTATAGAATAATGAATGGCAATCCAGCTTCAGGGGTTCCAGGAACATTTGGACAAAAATTTGTAATTTTTTTTACTATATTTTGTACATATTTGTAGATATAATTTAAGTGATACAGTATAATCAGTTTACTTACATACAATATATACAGTTATTTTATATATATATACAGTTTATTTACATACAGATTAATTACATAGAAAATATAGAGTTTATTTACATAGAGTTTAATTAAATAGACAACATCCAGTTTAATTTACATAGAAAACATCCAGTTTATTTACATACAGTTTAATTACATAGAAAACATCCAGTTTATTTACATACAGTTTAATTGCATAGAAAATATACAGTTTATTTACATAGAAAACAGTTTATTTACATATAGTTTAGCATATAAAGTAGTTTTCAAGTCTTTTTGTTAATAATCTTTTTTAGGTTGGTTGTGTTTTTCTTAATAATCCATCTGATCAGGTGCCCATTCGAGTTTTGTTACTTATATACAGTCCAAAGAAAATGTGTTTTATTGGGGTTGTTCCAGATGATCAGGTAATTTGTTGAATTACAATCAGAATGATGTATAGAGAGCTTAATATAATGGCATTACCTGATTTGCGTATTGTAAAACAATAAATAACATCTATGTTACTGAACCCTTACTGAATAAAGTTGCAGGTATCAACTTGAAATTATTTGATATTGTATGAAAACCTGAAGGTGGAAAATCTTATATTTTCAGATCTTGACACAATTTTCAGATTGCAAAAAAAGCTTAAGATTCATAAATTGATACTATCCATAAAGTGATATTAATAAATAAAATTGCAACTATGCGATACCCTATCACTTAGTTGCAGCCATAAATTGATACTATCCATAAAATGATATTAATAAATAAAATTGCAACTATGCGATATCCTATCACTTAGTTGCAGCCATAAATTGATTCTATCCATAAAGTGATATTAATAAATAAAATTGCAACTATGCGATATCCTATCACTTTGTTGCAGCCATAAATTGATACTATCCATAAAGTGATATTAATAAATAAAATTGCAACTATGCGATATCCTATCATTTAGTTGCAGCCATAAATTGATACTATCCATAAAGTGATATTAATAAATAAAATTGCAACTATGCGATATCCTATCACTTAGTTGCAGCCATAAATTGATACTATCCATAAAGTGGTATTAATAAATAAAATTGCAACTATGCGATATCCTATCACTTAGTTGCAGCCATAAATTGATACTATCCATAAAGTGATATTAATAAATAAAATTGCAACTATGCAATATCCTATCACTTAGTTGCAGCCATAAATTGATACTATCCATAAAGTGATATTAATAAATAAAATTGCAACTATGCGATATCCTATCACTTAGTTGCAGCCATAAATTGATACTATCCATAAAGTGATATTAATAAATAAAATTGCAACTATGCGATATCCTATCACTTTGTTGCAGCCATAAATTGATACTATCCATAAAGTGATATTAATAAATAAAATTGCAACTATGCGATATCCTATCACTTAGTTGCAGCCATAAATTGATACTATCCATAAAGTGATATTAATAAATAAAATTGCAACTATGCGATATCCTATCACTTAGTTGCAGCCATAAATTGATACTATCCATAAAGTGGTATTAATAAATAAAATTGCAACTATGCGATATCCTATCACTTAGTTGCAGCCATAAATTGATACTATCCATAAAGTGATATTAATAAATAAAATTGCAACTATGCAATATCCTATCACTTAGTTGCAGCCATAAATTGATACTATCCATAAAGTGATATTAATAAATAAAATTGCAACTATGCGATATCCTATCACTTAGTTGCAGCCATAAATTGATACTATCCATAAAGTGATATTAATAAATAAAATTGCAACTATGCGATATCCTATCACTTTGTTGCAGCCATAAATTGATACTATCCATAAAGTGATATTAATAAATAAAATTGCAACTATGCGATATCCTATCACTTAGTTGCAGCCATAAATTGATACTATCCATAAAGTGATATTAATAAATAAAATTGCAACTATGCGATATCCTATCACTTAGTTGCAGCCATAAATTGATACTATCCATAAAGTGATATTAATAAATAAAATTGCAACTATGCGATATCCTATCACTTAGTTGCAGCCATAAATTGATACTATCCATAAAGTGATATTAATAAATAAAATTGCAACTATGCGATATCCTATCACTTAGTTGCAGCCATAAATTGATACTATCCATAAAGTGATATTAATAAATAAAATTGCAACTATGCGATATCCTATCACTTAGTTGCAGCCATAAATTGATACTATTCATAAAGTGATATTAATAAATAAAATTACAACTATGCGATATCCTATCACTTAGTTGTAGCCATGAATTTGATGAATTCTTTTTTTATATATTTTTTAAGATTTTAATTTTTTCTTTTCAATTACTTTAGCAACACTTTGTTGGGCAGTTAAAGGTATGTTTTATATTTATACTTATATAATTATTACACTATTTGAAAACAATATTAAATTTATTCATTTTTATGTATATTTAAATGTAATACAGTACATACAGTTAATAATAAAAGTTGAGAATAAGTGCGTGTTTTTAATTATCAAAATTATTAATTAACTAAAAAAAAAGGTGAAAAAAATACAATAAAACTGAAAATAAGTATTTTGATTTTAATATGCCGTAGTAGATTAGCGGTAGAACACTAAAATTCTCAGCGTTGTCAATAAAATTATAATCCTCAGTGTTGTCAATAAAACTAAAATCCTCAGTGTTGTCAATACTGTTGAACAAAAACTTTGTATAGAAGTCAATGAAGAAGAAATTATACTAAGGCATAGCATGTAGCAAATGTGACTCCTTTTGCTCAAAGGAGGTTTAATCATAGGTCCACATAACTACAGACTGTTACTTCTGTTACTTCTGTGCTGTGCAAAGTAATGGAGTAAGTAGTTAAAAATAAAGTCATGCATTATTTATTGTCTTAGAGTCTATATCAAATCTATGAAAAAGTACTATGGAATCGAAGTTCTTTAGAAGAAATTGAAATTCTACAGAAAACATCTATGAACTTGAAGTTCTATGGAACAGTTCTATGGAATTTAAAACAATATTTTAAGGTGTTTCTTTCAAATAGAACGCAGTGTCCTAGAAATGAAGCATTAGAATGGAAAATAATTATTAGTGGCATATAGCCCATGGTCATGTTCATGGTCCAAAGGTTTATAAGCCAAGTCCATGGTTCAACATTATTTGTAATCTTCAATAATTATTTTACCAAACAAGTTCGTAGCAAAAACATTTACAAAACTTTGTCAGGCAGCTAACATTTACACAGGTTTTAGCTGGTTAATATTATTAGGTTTAAAAAAAAGTTTTGGATTATTTTTAAAATTAAAACTAGCTCCCAAGTATAAAAAAGATAGATTTTTGTTTGAAATATTTATAAAGAAAAGGAAATTATTTTTAAAGTTAAATATCTAAAATAAATCATTAAAAAAAACATTCCTACAATGAGTTTTAGTAAAAACGATCATTAAATATTTTTTACGTTTGGAAGAAAACAATGCTTTAAGTAATCCATGTAAAATTCAAAACTTTACACTCAATAATATGTATATTACACTCAATAATATGTATAATAAAAATATAATAAAACATTTAATATACCATATAATAAAACATTTAATAGATATCATTATATGTTGAGATACACTCAAGAAATAATGATATCTGATAATATTAAATGTTTTATATTGTCTTTAATAAAATTTTAATAAGTAAATGTGTTTTTAATAAAATCATTTGTTAATAACCTTATAGAGATTTTTTATTTACTCTAAGTTTTTATATATTTCACTTGAAAATAGTATTTAATAGTGAAAAATGGAAGTTCAACTATGATATGCTGCTTTAAGATATTTTGCAAACAAATAAACAAAGTTTTAAAAATTGCTACTGGAGTTGAAAAACATTTTTAAAACCTTAGATGGATAGAATATGATGTGAATAAAGATTGTTGTCCCAAGTTTATATGCTATACGATATATAAGAGTTAATGAAGAAAATCTATAAGTTTTTCACATAGCATTTTAAACCTTGTAATAGCCAGCAAGCCAAAATTTACGTCACAGGGAAATACTTAAGGTGTTTTTTTTTTGTTTTTTTCATATATAAATGTTTTTAACTATTTTATTCATGTATGTTTTTAATTATTTTTATATTATGTTTTTAATACATTTTTCTTTTAGGCTATTATAGCTGAAGATAAACTTCGAGCTGTAAAGCAACCAAATTTTCCTGTATGATTTAGTTGTAATTTGGCATTTTATTTATTTTATTTTATTATTTATTTTATTTGTATTTTGAATTAGATTGCTCAATCTTGAGTAAGATTTTTTTGAGGATTTTTTTGCTTCTTACTTTTATATGTTCATAATTTATTTAAGAACGTTGGAGTCCAATCACAAACTCCCAGAAATGTGGTTGTATCTTCGAACAATCCACAGTTGACACCCCAACAATTAATGGTCCGTCAAAAATATATGCAGCAGCAGGTAAAATCAATTGATATTTTTATATTTATAATTATTTTACGTTGGTAGTTTTGCAGATCGTTTTAAATTAAAATAAAGTATTATATATAAATAAAGTAAGCTTTGTCAAAGGTCTATTGCTAAGTCTAATTATCACGTGAATACTTTTTTTAGTATCAACAAAATTCGCAAAATCAGATGCAGCAAACATCGCAATCTCAGCTGAAATATCTTTTGCAGCAACAACAGTTGCAGCAAACTAATTCGTCAATACAACAACAACAGCAGCAACAAAATCAGTTAACCCAACCGCAGTTAAATCAACTACAGCAAAATCAGTATACTCAACCGAATCAGCAACAGTCACAGATTTCTCAAATCAATCAGCATCTACAATCTCAAATTAGTATATCTCAACAGCTTGCAGCTCTTAATTCGCAAAGAATAAATCAGAATTGGTCAGCGCAGCAATTACAGCAGCAGCTGTTGCTTCAACAGCAGCAGCAGCAACAACAGCAGCAGCAACAGCAACAAAAAATTGTTGCTGCTATTGCTTTGGCCCAACAACAAGAACAACAACAAACAGTATCAGATGTGCAATTGTATAGTGATTTTTTGGGTAATGGCTGACTGCGTGTTGTTTCCAAAATTGAAAATGAATAGTTAATATTTGTATAATACAAAAAAAATTTGGTGAAAAATTCGCAAAATGAGTAGTTTTTAAACAACTTGTTTTGACTTTCAGTTTTTTTATAATAAAAGAAGGTACTTAGTAGATAATTCATTTAAGTTTGATAAATAAAAAAGACCGGTAGCCGGGACTAATTAAATATGATAAATCAAAGTTTTATAGATCATTTTTACAATCAACATTTTTATGAGATAGGAGAGTTACTACCATGATCATTAAATTTTCAAGGTTTTTTTATTTAAAAACAAATATTAGGGAAAAGTTTATTAAGAAATTTATTATTTTTATAGATTAGAAATCTGCATAAAATATTGAGCTAAATTAGTTTAAAATATTTTTTAATTTTTGAAAAATTTAGAGGGTAGATTAAATTTAATTTTAAAATTTAAAATTTAAAGAATTTCCTGTTTTACTGCTTTGATTGATTGCAGGTACTAATTACAAAATCTACTCACCGACATAAGTTTTAAAACATCAAAAAACAAAAAAACTTTGAGATAATTCAACATTTCTTTGTTTCATAATTTTTTTTTTAATTCGAAATTTAATGCTTATGTTAATAAAAAGAAATCAAGTTTTAGGAGTGATTGAGAGACAAATTGTGTACATTCTTGCTGTCTTTGAACCCTCTTTGTATGCATTCATATAATATTGGGTAAATCACATACATATATTAGTCTCTGGTACAAATAAAAACTTTCATTATAATCAGGCATAAATAATCGTAGACCTTTAAAAAACCTCCTAAATTTCAATTTGTCAAAAAATAAGTTTTCGTTTATTTCTCACCATAGCAAAAAAATAAAATAGCTGTTAAAAAATGCGTGTTCGACGGTAAGCCGCACTAGAATCGAATTCTATTCAAATTTATTCATGTTCTGTAAAAAATTCTCAACCTTCCTTTTATAAAGATAATCAACTTGCAGCACATTGCACGTTGTCTTCCAAAGTAGTTTTCAAGATTATCTTGCCAGAATCTTTCAGAGGAAACAAATTTAACGGCATTCTCAAGTAAAAATTTTACAGCTTTAAATGAATGCACTGTAATTTGCAAACCATAAGTTTGTGAAGAAATAAACATTTTTGATTTTGAGCTCTCGTCAAAACTTCCTTCTCGCTGATCTATAGATTCTTTGCGAATTTCCAGCTGTTTGCGTTTTAAACGCTATTGTTGCAAACCTAATTTAATTGTTTCCGTGGAGGTAAATCTAAGAGGAGCATTCAGCTTTGCAGGTTGATTTAAAGTTTTTTTTTATTTTTTACTTCATAAGTGGTTTTAAGATGCAAAAAATGGCATGAAGTACAACAGTTCTGGGATTGTAACAAAATAACTAAGTGAACGATAAAACTTATGTTAGTACAACAGTTCTGGAATTGTAACAAAATAACTAAGTGAACGATAAAACTTATGTTAGTACAACAGTTCTGGGATTGTAACAAAATAACTGAGTGAACGATAAAACTTATGTTAGTACAACAGTTCTGGGATTGTAACAAAATAACTAAGTAAACGATAAAACTTATCTTAGTACAACAGTTCTGAGATTGTAACAAAATAACTGAGTGAACGATAAAACTTATGTTAGTACAACAGTTCTGGGATTGTAACAAAATAACTAAGTGAACGATAAAACTTATCTTAGTACAACAGTTCTGGGATTGTAACAAAATAACTAAGTGAACGATAAAACTTATGTTAGTACAACAGCTCTGGGATTGTAACAAAATAACTAAGTGAACGATAAAACTTATGTTAGTACAACAGTTCTGGGATTGTAACAAAATAACTGAGTGAACGATAAAACTTATCTTAGTACAACAGCTCTGGGATTGTAACAAAATAACTGAGTGAACGATAAAACTTATCTTAGTACAACAGTTCTGGGATTGTAACAAAATAACTAAGTGAACGATAAAACTTATGTTAGTACAACAGTTCTGGGATTGTAACAAAATAACTGAGTGAACGATAAAACTTATCTTAGTACAACAGTTATGGGATTGTAACAAAATAACTAAGTGAACTAAGTTGATACTATCTTGATTTAACTAGGTTTGTGAAAAAGCAGTTTAAAAGTCAAGTAATTAAATTTTTTAGGTATAACATGTTTTTCAAATTTAAAATTCTGGTTGATTAAGTCTAAATTTGTTACATCAGTACCTTGACAAAGAACAAGAGTTTCAATATGAATAATAAATTTTGATAAAGAAACGTTTAAAAAAGATCCTTTTTATACAGATGATGATCTTTTGGTAACATCTAACCAAAAAATCATATCCAATAATTTAGAAACTTATCAAAATAAATTTTATACTTAGATAAAACATGTTCTGACGAATTACAAGTAATTATTACTAATTTATCACCCAAAGATATTTTCCAATAATCACTAAGAGAGAGATTTAAAATAAGCTTAGTAAAATCATCATAAGATTTGTTACATGGCATTGTAGTTTGATAAATCAACTCTTGATTATATTAAAATTCCTCACGTTTTGTAATGGATAGCGAGCTTCGCTGCAATTGATTACTTTTCTTAAGGAGGTTTAATGTTGGCAATCATCCATCCATGTTTCGTGAAAATTTTACCCGACATTGATGTTCGGTAGTTTTTTTCGTAAAAAAATATACCCGAAATTGATCCGAAATTGAAAAATATACCCGTGTTTTTCGTGGGACCTTCGGTAGTTTTTTTCGTGAAAAATATACCCGAAATTTACCCGAAATTGAAAAATATACCGAAATTGATGTAAAGGGGAATTCGCAAATATATAGGTTGAAAGAATTTGTTTTTTCAAAGAATTATCAATAAGCCTGTCTCGAATAATTAGTTTTAATAAGGTCATTACTCCATTGTTTATTTGCATAATTAGTTGGAGTAGGTACTTTAAAAATGCTAATACCTTTGTGTCTTCTAGAATTTGAACAACCAAATATTGCACAATTTTCGCCAGGCATATCAAGAAAAAGCAACTTCAATGAAAACAGAAAAACAACTTGGTAGAATAACAGGCAAACGCTAACATTAACAATCTTTCTGTGCAGGTTCGGAAATCCGGAAACGAGAAAAAACAGTATGAAAAAGTTAAAATCATGCGCCATTGTTCGCTTCCAAACTATATCTTTCTTATAACATAAAATAATTTGTTTCTTACCCAAAAAAGACCTTTTTTTAAAAAAAAAAAGTGCTAGATTAACTAAAATATCAGTACATTACTTATGAGTTCTAAAGAACAAAAGAATGTTGCAATTAAGTGTATTTAATTAAGTGCTAACAGGAAGGGTGCAATTGTTTTGCACTCTTCCTGTTAGCGTTGTTTCGGGAGAACGGAGTTTCTCGGTTTTAAAAAGACTTAAAGCTTGGTTAAGATCCAATATAGGACAAGAACGATTAAATGGCTTAGCTATGATGCATATCCATAGAGATTGAATCATAAATGTCGAAAAGGTTGTTAATAGTTTTGCATCTTCAAAAACTAGAAAGCTCAATTTTATACTGTAGTTTATAACTAAATAGTTTAATTTATAAACGCCTATATTAAAAAAAACGAATATACTAAAGATATTATTTTGTCTTTTGTTGAACATTACAGACAGGGCCAGATATAGGCAGACAATAGGCAGACAAGACTGCAGCTTGTGCACCATGATTTTAGCGGGCTTGATTTTTAAATGGGATATTATGCAAAAAAAACTGTGGTATTTAGAGGTATTTAGGGCCCCAATAATTTTTTCTGCCTAGGACCCTTGAGGATATAAATCCGTCCCTTATTATAAACTAAATATTTATTTTCAAAATGTGATTTTTTAAAGATATTTATATACAGGTACATTTTTTTTTGTTGGTCAAATAACCAAATCAACCCCTCCCCCTAGAATAATGACCTTGAACCGCCACTGGAAAGTTTATAATTAACCATATTTTAAAACACGATAAAAAACTAGAACAATTTGTGTCTAAAACAAAAATTTAAAATCTAAAATACAACAATAATGAGAAATCGAGTTATGCCATCTTTGTTCGTGTGAAAGCGCATAGGGCGTATTAAACTCAATAATAATACGTGACTTATTTCAGCATTATATATGTCAATAAGAACGTTAATAAACTAATAAAAAAAAACGCTTCTTTCATATAAATTTATACACGATTATTTAGACCATATAATATTTTCCCAAGAGAGATATTATAGGTATTTTTCTAACTTTATAATGATATATATACAAAATAACAATATACAAAATTTGCTGATTGCCTCATTAGCTAAGGAAATCTCTAAGGTCAATATATGACGCTTAGAGACGTTTATAATACAACTATATTATTTATATTAAACTACTATTTACAATAATCGCCTCGTGAACATACTCCTCCCTTTTGATCAAATAGTCAATATCTTTTGGTTCATTCGGCTCAAGAGGGCACAACTTGGTTATCGGACGTTTAACCTTCCCAACTTGAACCATGACGACATGCACTAACCCATCGTTTCCAGGGAAAACCTCAGTTACACGACCAAGAGGCCAATTGTTTCTTGAAGTATTTTTAGATATCACCAATACCAGATTGCCTATTGATAAGTTTCCCATAACAATGTTCCTTTTTTTTTTGTAGTCCGAGCGTGGGTAACCATTCTTTCACCCAGCAATGCTAAAAATGCTTTATTAATTCTTGGACTCGTCGCCATCTTCTTTTTGGGTTGAATGAAATAATATCCTCTACATCAGCGGCGAACTTACCAACTAAGTGTCCAACTAAAAAATGATTTGGTGTAAAGGGTGTGCAGTCATTAGGATCACTCGATTGATAAGTCAATGGTCGTGAGTTTATAAGTCCTTCTGCTATTTAATACCAACATGGCTTGTTGCCTCAATTATTCTTTTCTTTTCGCATCAGTGAAACTTCGTAGCTCTTTGTTTGCTAATACAAAGTTGTCTCCATTTTCCGATATTATTTCTTTTGGCGTTCCTCTTCGACTGCTCATCCTAAAAAACGCATTTAGAAATGAGTCAGCGTC